TAGGTATTTCAAGATACGTTTGATGGTATCTGCATTTGTTACTAATAAGAACCAATTTTTGGTTTTGTGGGACCATGAATACCCGTAAACGTAATGTAAAAAACCAAAATAGGTGTTCTAAGATACGGAAATCGGTTCTGATTAGTAACAAATGCAGATACCCTTTTTTCGTTTTGTAGGATACGTTTCTTTTTTAGAGAGTAGTTACAGATGATGTAAAATTTCACGGGCTTTCAGAATATGTCGTTACTTTAAAGAAAATACGTTCTGTTGGTAACAATATCCTCAAAATACCGAGGAAAACTTATCTTTTCCAGGAGTATAAGCTATTTATTTGAAAAAAGAAAGAAATCAGCAATTTTATACGATCTCTACTCACCGAAAGAGAGACAAGCCCCATTATTATCGGCGATAAAGAAAACAAGAGCTACGCATATTGTGATAACAAGTGAAAGATCTGGTAAAAGAAGAAAGAAGAAACCAAGATAGCAGATGGGGGAAAAACTGTACATACACGCTTATTGTCCATCCAAAAAAAGAATGGTATATGACTGTTTTTTGAATAACCTTGGATAGGAAAAAGCTAAAGAGCTTCAATCTTCACCATTCGAAAGAGGAGACTGAAAAACCGAGCTCCAAAACTATGCCTTTTCTAATTTTTCGATTGTACGATCAGGTTTAGCGGAGGAAATTAACCATATTCTGAAAATTTTACACACGAGCTAGTTTTCCAAAGATCCCCTGGAAAACCTGTTCCAGAAAGCTCTTCTGGGAAAAATTTTTTGGTTATGAAAACATGTTCCCAAGTCTCCTCTTTCGAATGGTGAAAATTGAAGCTCTTTAACTTTTTCCTATCCAAAGTTATTCAAAAAACAGTCATATACCATTCTTTTTTTGGATGGACAATAGTAATGTATATATATATTCCCGCATGGTTGTATAATGATACACAGAGAGAGAGAATAAAAAAGTGAAAGTAATAATCAAGGTCTGTTTTGCGACCAGAAAGCGAGCTAGAGAGGAGAGAACAAGGGAAAGAGAAAGATAAAGATACTATTGTTCTTCTGAAAAACATTTTGAAGTACAAATATACTCTATAACTGCATGATATATACATAAAAAATCTTCTTTCGAAACCGTCACATTTAATAGAAAGAGATTAAGACTGAGGGTAAGAGTGTTTCCTATCGTCGAGATTTTTTTTATGAGAGTTATTCTTTGAGCGCGATATAACACACAATCCAAAAGGTAATGCTGAAGAGTCTACCTCTCCACATTTGCATGAACTTGTCAAAGCCAACGATTTTTTGCGTAAATCAGCTTTCAAAACAGAAAAGTTAACCCGAAGTCTACCGTATAACACGTCGATAGCTCTCGGGATATTATGAACGCGAAAAATAGCAAAGGAACTTCCGTAGTGGATGAGGAGCTGTTTTTGGAAAATTTTGAAGAGGTGATATTTATATGTTGGAGTAGTTTTGACCAAACCTGGGAGGCATGATTTGTACATCAGCAATCTTACTGCTGACCTTTACTGTATATGTGGTGCGAATGAGACACTTGAACACTTTTTCCTCCATTATCCTTTATACCAAAACCAACGAAAACTGCTATTCTCTGAGATTGTTGACATACGGCAATGTGATTACTTATGCTATATGGCTCTATGAAATATGAAGATATGATAGAGATATATCATTCTGTTTTAAAGTTTATATCTATGACTAATCGCTTTAAGCAGCCTGGATTCCCCGAAACAATGTTAACTTATGAATTTCGTAGAGGTCCTGAATGTCAAGCCATCCCAATATTTCTAAGACTTTCTCTTTGCTGGACAATTGAAATTCACTATTGATGCCAAAAACCTGACTACGGACCTGATCACCTGAGACTGCGAGTGAAGTAATAAAGCAGTTAGCGAGAAAAGTTCGATAGTCAAGCGCGCGCAAAGTTAGCGGATTCAACAGTATACAGCCGCATGTATAAAGTCTGATCTTCATAGAACGAGCAGCAGCTTTGACGATAGATGTGCACCTCACATTCAGAAATTCAAAATACTTCGGCTTTTGATAAAATGCTGCAGTTTGCCTACCCATTATGGACTGAAGGACCGCTAACCTACAGTCAAGAGACCGAGCTGAGCTTTGCTCGACGTTAACGGTGCTCAAAGCAGTCAAAGACAAACTTCTCTTCTTTTTTTCTTCAGATATAAAAGGACAATCAGGAATGTCTTAGTGAAGGATGGATTCTGTAAAAGAGAATGTCATTCCTACAGTAATAATTCGTCCTGTCCGTTCCGTTCCATCGGAACTTGAGCAGTGTAAATCACTGATACGTACGCTATGGCTCGATCAACACTTTCCTCAAAACTTTCTCGATCGAGTGATTAAAGCTGGTGATAGTGAACTGTGCCACGTTGAAGAAAAGTATCTAAAAAGTCCTCGTAATCACTGGTGGGTAGCTCAGCTTAACGACAACAAAATTGTCGGGCAAGTATCGTTACGACCAATGTCAAGTGGTGGTGGCGAGGATTCTAGTCGTTTTTACAAGTACATTGATCCGCAAGATTACTGTGAACTGCGGCATTTGGCTGTCTTGCCCGAATATCAAAGACAACAAATCGGCTACAGACTATTAAAGGCTTCAATTGAATTTGCTCGTCAAAACAAGTACAAAGCTTTGTACGTGAACACAATGCTTAGTATGAAACGTGCATGTGAGTTCTATGAACGATGTGGCTTTGAACGAGCTCCTGAAATTGAACGTCATGAGTTAGCTAATACAAAGAAAATAAAACTGTTTAATAATATCGATCAGTTAACAGAAGATGACTGGAACGAGATTAAGAACCTGGGAGAAACGGAAGTTAAACATTATTATGATCAAAGTTATTTTATGAAGTTATAAAGTTGGGTACTTTTTAGTATCAATAACACAAACTGTAACCAGAAAAAAAACCAAGGCCACCTTTTTCTCAGAACCCGAGATGGCAAGACCGATGCTTTTCAAGTCCAGGTCAGCGCCTGTTCACTGCAGGCAAAAGACGTTAAACTTATGATAACGCAGTGCTTAAAATAAAAACAAATTACAAAGAGATTTTTTTAGTTTCCTTCTCGCAACACAATCACGAGCGAAGAAAACATAAACAACTCGAATTTCAAGTAACTCTTCTTCAACACAAGCTTGCCACCGACGAAACAATGACTCTCCTGATCTTTTACATCACTTTGTTGCTCATGTCGACTTACATATATGGTGAGACATCTGAAGCTCTCAGACACGTTGTTCCCATTTGTTTGAATTTTCAAAAGCTTACGGAAATTTAAGAGATTTTTTAAACAGTTCACTGTTCATTAAGAGAGCATCCAACAGCCGATCAAGCATTTCGGCTATAGGCCGTAACTTTTGAAAATTTAGATTTCGATGAGAGATATCTCATTCGATAGCCCATCTAGAATAACCGACAAATTACAATTTTAACAACTTGGAACCTCTTGGTTATTGAGTTACGCCATGTTTACAGAAAAGAAAGTCGAAATTTTTCGAAAAAGCTCATTTTTTAGTATTTTGATTTTTTCTCAAAAACTGCTAGACAGATTCTCTAGAGCAACATTCCATTCGATGCAGAATGGAATCCCGAACAAAATGAGATGCTTTTATTGAGAGTAAGACATACAGATGGCTCACTAAAGATAAAATACTGAAAAATCTTGGTTATGAAAAACGTGTTTTTTCTGCGTATTTTGCAAAAATATGTAACTTAAGCGCATGGGCCTCACATAAAACTTATGGTATTTTGTAGAGCTGACAATTCTCTACAAAACATGTGTAAAAGAGAGCAAAAGAAAGTTTCACCTGATGGGTTTTGGGGCGTTACAAAGTGAATAGGTCGAACCTCAAAAATGCATGATTATGTGTGTTTTTTCGTTTTTCTCCTATTTTTCCTTTCCGTACGAGGAAAACTGAGATGTAATCCATAATCTACGATGAAAGCTCAAGTGATTGACGCATTTGAAAAACATCAGATACATACAGGTTAGTCTGTGGTGCCTGCACTTTATATATAATAACTATATTGACTTCTAACCTATTTTGTCGTTCACAGTCATATACCTTGAACCTAATGAAAGCTTTATAGTATAGAGGTTGATACGGTCTTCAAAACATACTACTTGAACGATTTCTTCGATTGAATTTCTGTCCGCGTTTTTGAATAATGAGAGCTTTTACTCTACTTTAGTATTCTGAAAATGGTTTTAGGATCCTTTCATCTACTATGCATTCAGACATCGGGGGTAGCATGTAACATATAAAAACACAGTATTTCTTAAAGTACCGAGCTTGTGAGATTTACAGTATTGAAAATCTTTTTCAGAATTTTCGAATGTTTTGTAATCTAAATGATCTTTTAGGTTTAGTTAAATTCAATTCCGATCGAATCCGCTTTCGTGTTGTTGTCTGAACATCATCATTTAAAGCAGAAGCGACTTTCTCCTGATCAATAATTTCTTGAAGAGCCATATCATCCTTATATGCTTCGTCTTCGTCGTCATCAGTTCCGTCATTAGAGCTGTTCGCGAATGCAGGTGTAGAATCGTCACACCTCGTTACAATAACTTGAGGATCTGTCCTTTTGGTAAATGATGTTTTAAGCCGAGAGAAGAAGGAGCGAATTTGAGACGATTTGAGCAGTTCGTCGATGGAGAACATGAATGGACCATCATTCGATTTCATTTTTTTCATCTCCAAACATACAGCTTCCGGTTTCCATCTTATACCTCGTTCTATCCCTTCATTAAATTTTTCCGTTAAAAATTGCTTCTGTTTATCGTTGAATTTCATGACTGTACGCGGTTTTGGTAACGCCCACCCTTCTAACAAAATCGGTATGCGTTCATACAGGCTCTTATCAAACGTAGACATTTCTAATAACAACGAAACCATTTGTCGATTATCGACTGTTTCTAATTTTGAGTGGTAGGTTTTCATAGCTGCATCAGTTAAATTCAATTTTTCCTCCTTTATACTATGTTTCCCGATCAATAAATGATTAATAAAATTTTGATATCGAATAATAGCTTGTGTACATCCTTCTTGGTTACATTCATATACGATGGTATTCGATGGTTCATCGTTAGCATTCTCTGTTTCTTCTTTCGAGGCTTCTAGTCTTGTTGTTTCTTTCGAATTTGACCAGTCGTTACAATAGGGCGATTTAACACAATCCAGTATACTAATTTTTGGCGCTTGCCGAAGGAGGTCTTTCTTTAATAATTTTTTACCATCTCCGATTTGCCAAGCACGGTGTACACGAATACTAGATGCATCAAATTCAAAATTATTGAACGATGTAATACCCGGTAATTTAAATTTGATCTTTTCATCGATAGGTGATAAACGACATTCGACTACACTGACATTCATGACTCCACCATACGATCTACTCGCATTCACAAATTGTTCAGCTGTTGTAACATCATTTTTTTCGTTTAAGAGCCATTGCACGTAAGCCACGACCGACGTTCTTCAATCGATATTCTCGAAACTTATCCAAAGTAGAGGGCTTTTGTAGACCAAACATTTTAAGGAGCGTCCACAAGAAAATCACTACAAGGTTTGAACTACTTCGCGGCTGACGGAAGTGAGGCATTTGATTCTCTAATCAGAACAATTCAAGAATTGACCGTCAGTATCGATGAACAACAACGTTTAATTA